ATCTGACTCAAACTTCATAGCGCTCTCTCTTTTGTTGTTCAAGAGCAAAACAGTGGTATAAGCTGTTCACTTTCTACAGAAGACTTTCGCGGAGTTTTTGTTTCGAAGCCAACACTAGTAACCCAATTTGCTGAAGAGACTTGTCCACGAGGCACGAATAGCTACCCATAATTGACGCAAAGATTTGCAAACGAAATAAATAAACATACAACTGTACTAGCACCTATATATATATATGTATGTATATGTATAAAACATATGCAAGTAAGTAGAAAGAAGTTATTTTGCGTGTATCTCGAAATTTAGCAAGTGCCAGTTTTCCATGCATGCCATGTAACACCTTGCTTGTATGTATGTACATACACAAATACTTTTGTAAGCCCTTTATGCAAATTCACTTTAGATTCACTTTAGATGCGGCTTTTTTTTCGCACTCATTGTGTAACAAGCCGAAAAGCCGCAATTGCAACTATGTCAGATATGCAACGCTCGTATTTTGCTACTAACTTTCGCTGAAGTTGTCAACTTTTGTTGACACAAAGTCAAATGAAATGAAGTGGATGCGCTTGCTCTCAATGGAATGCAGCTTCAAATCCAGTAAGTATGTAAGTATTTAAAAAGTTTCTACCAACACCAGTATATGCGCTGATGAAAGTTGTTGTTAGTTGACAGTGAGTGAATGAATATGTGAGTGGAAGCGACAAGTCGCTCGAGTTTGACGAGTGAAAAATTCAATGCATTCATCAAACCAAGTTTTCAGGCTAAGCACAGTGGACATATGTATATTTATATAAAAGTACATAAAGTACATAGAGAAAAGTATTTATAGACTGCAACTCAAAACTAACAAAAATTTAGTCCTTTTCGCAAAAAAAGCCTTCGCAAAGAACTGGAAGCCGTGTTTTTGGCGGATTAATTTCTTTAAAATTATAAAAAAAAGTGTGCAAAAACAAACCAAAATATATGTTTGTATTTGAAACATATAAGGCGGTAAATAGCTTGCGCACAGTATGGCAAAGGAGCATTATCATTTAAACGTTTTCAAATGATGATTTATGAATGAGTGTAACATTCGACCAGCCTTGCGTTGATAGTTGATTTACATATGTAAATAATATTTTATCAACATAAACAATCAAAAGTTTTCTTTTCGATGTCCAAATTATCATAAAAAGAACATAACCTATGCTTATGTTGAAGGATTTCACAATTACAAAGTAATTTTTTATATGGAAATATCAAAAATTAACGCGATCTTTTAGAAACTTAAAACTTGCATCTTATTATAATGGAATTTAATAAGCTACACAACTGCATACCAAAAATTATTCCAGAAATTAAAATTAAAATGCTTGGAAATGGGATGAAAAGTTTATGGAATTTTTATAATTTTTGTACAAAGTCTGAAATTTAGAGATATGTATATGGCATTTGTTAGATAAAGAGCTACATATACTTTTATATAAAAATAAGGAACTTTAAAAAAAGCAACAGGAAAGTAGTAGTGTAGTAAGAAAAAGTAATAACTTAGTATTATATCGAACGCTTATATGTATACATACAATGCCCTCTTCCAGCAATTTTCATAGAAAAAAAAAAACTTTCCGGTGTTAAAAGCGAATATAAGCCGTCAATATGTTAGATTCAAGTCAACTTACTGAACTATACGAATATCGAAACATACAAAAAAGTAAAGAACATTTATTGCAATGGCGTTTACTATTTAATAAATAAGTAAAACAGTTGTAAGTCATAAAGTGTTGTGATTTACAGACTGCAAGCTACCAAGCAGTTGGAAGATTGCCGCCAACGAAAGGAAAAATAATAATAGCGCGCAGAATATGGCATGTTTCACCAATTTGGGCCCAGATTATTCCAAACTACTGAAGCGCGTCTAACTTTTTCCATATGGATTTATATTTATAACTGCATTGAGGTTTCGGATTGGTAACGGGATATTATATAAGCTTTTCGGCAGGCACGGCTATTTGGAACTCGTACTTAACTTTTTTTCCTTGCGTAAGCGGGAATTGAACCCAGCAAGTTGTACCCGTCATGCCACGCAAACATGAATACCTCCTCAATACGTTACCACGTCTACCTTTAAATTAAAACAACCCACAAGTAGATTTAGCAAATTGCAAATGAATTGTATTAACCGATAAAATGGAGTGATTACATACATATAGACCTAAACCTAAAAAATATTTGTACACATCCCGCACATGTGTGGATGTAGGGTATGTGCTTGGGTATGTACGACTACCATGCCTACGCTCTGTGGCATTGGAAACGCAAATCAACCATAAAGTGATGCAAACAAGCGAATCGAAAACATTGGAGCGTATCGAACATTGCATGTCTCGCCGTAATTACTGGCCGGCGAAAAAAAAAAAGAAACAAAAATAAAAACACAAAATTATATTGAACCGAAAATGAAAGGAAAAAGCGACGTTTTCGAAAAGATGGTAATGATTGAAAGGGAGCCAGTTGGGTCGAAGGTTGAGAGCAAACAGAAATAAATTCCAAACAGACATTCGCTGTCATAAAATAGCAACCTGCTACAACAAAAGCAACAACACACAATGATACTAATACGACAGGCATGTTAAAATCAAGTGGAATGCAGAGCGCGCGCGCGCGCCCGCCTTAATGTATGCTATAAATATTGTATTTGCTTCTTCGCCCACCTGGGGCCACCCGAGTGTATTGAGTATTGAAAGGTAATCAGCGCAGCAGAGCCTACAAGGCTTTGCACTTTATCCGACCGCGTGACAATCTAACTCGTCAAAAGTTGAGCACGATTCGCCATAAAAATAAATAATGAAAATTTGCATTAACCTTGAGCCGCCGTATAAAATAAACCAAAATGGAGGAAGCAAAATAATGGCAGGAAGTACGAGGCAGAAAAACTGTCTGCGCCTAAGAGTCAGCATAGAAACAATATGTTAAATGAGAGTAGGTAAGGAAGACGCGACTACGCCGCCTCTGTCAATAAAATGTCTAATCAATCAGGCCAATAATTTATGCACTGGAATATAGCGCATATTTTGTTTTATTCTTAAGTTCTTATGTTTTACCAGTAACGCTTGAATATGCATGTGAAGTGGCGCATACCCTGCCAGTCAATTTGTGGGTGATTTGTTAACGACATTTTTGCGGTTATCTGTCTGTGGGTGGAATTAATTAGCGAATTTGTTGCACATCGAAACTTTTGATACAGAAAAAAGTAAGAGTGTTTGTAAGGAAATGTTTCCACTTATCTACTCTGTACATTCATAAAAATTTTAAGTTTTTAAAAGGAATTCCGGAGTATGGAAAAGCAAAGCAAAAAGAGCACACTTTTACGAGTATAGATATTTTTGATTTGCTCCCTATTTACCCCGAAATATGCTCAGTTGCTGGGACCGAACATTATAATTTTAGTTATTGATGAAAACTGCCATTGAAAAGTTCACTATGAAGGAAATTTTCTATAACCAAGTGATGCATCGGTTATCGGTTTCTTTTTTTTACCGAGAATCAAATTCGACAATTTTCTTTTGCTTTTTGTAATTTTCATGCAAAATTAAAAAAAAAAAATATTTTTGATTTTTATTTTATAAATCCAAAATAACAATTATTTTTGACTTTTATTTAAATAATCTGCAAGTAACTGTTATTTTTGATTTTTATATTATATGTCCTAGAACAGTTATCGAATACTTTTATTTATACAAATCATCAATATAAATCGGTTCCTAACTTTTTACCCGACTTTCAAATAGGAGGAGGTTATCAGTTCGTCGGAATATTTTTTGCTAAAAATTACTTGTATTTTTAAAGTTACACGTATCAAAGTCATCATAATTTTTTGTGGCTAAAAAATTGATGGAGAACAAAAGTTTACTACGACTTATACAAATGACTTTTATAAGTATGACTAAAAAAATGAAAGTCAATGAGTTATTTATATTGATGACTTTTATAACTAAAAGCCACTGAATGTTTTTCATTTATGATGTTTATAAATAAAAGTCTTCAATAACTTTTATCTAAGACCACTGTACGACAAAATCAACTTTTTTTCTGGGTATTAGAACAAACCAATTTTTTTAAAAAGATTGAGTCAAAGGTAAAAAAGTAATTTCTCCGTTTTTCGAAGTTAGCTTCCGAAATCGAGATATGGGCCTTCGAAGGTCGAAATAGACCTTTGGTAAAAAAATTATATTTAATATTCAAAATCCAGTTTTTGTGTTTCAATTTGTTTTGTGCGAATGTCTATTTTATATTTTTTGATAATTTTTAATTTTTAATATTTTTCGGAATATAAATTTTTTGAACGTTGGTGTGTCAAATAAAAGCTGTTGGGTCTTTCTGATTGGCCGGAGCAGAAAGCTTTCTGATACAACTCTGCGCTGAACTGGTTTCCAAACGGGTTAAATGATTTAACTGGTTCAATTTTCCAACAATAATTGCATGCGATTTAACTTGTTTATGAACATGTTTTGTTTTAAAATTTATATCGTTATAAAGGTGATTCAACCCCTTTCTTTCGATATGCATATTTGTATACTTCGCATATAAAAATTTGAGAATACCCACATTTAAAGGAAAAAATTACTATAAAAAAAATATACATATATATTTTAAACAAAAAAATACCAACCGATTTTTAAACAATTGGTACCGTTGTAAAGGCAATTAAAGCACCTTTCTTATACTTATTCATCTACCAGCGAAACGGGGAGATTTTTTTTCTTGTAATTTGTAGAAAAAACTTAAGAAAAGTCTGCCTTACTCAAAAGGGGAGCATGTACCTAGAAACGGTGTTATTGCATGTTCTGCTGAACGAGGAATTTCGAGTTAATACTTACTTAAGTTCAATATAACTCTGTGACATAATTAGGCGATTGGCTTTTAATTGGCGAATCCAGGCTTCCCTTTAACTTATAACTTATAACTTTTGTATGCTTCGCGATAATTGGTTCTCAATTGAAACTCTGCTTTTATCCTTACAGATTTCGTCAATTCTCTGAGAGATGTGCGCGTCAAGATTCCACATGCTGCGCGACGCGGCGAAAAGGTGACGCTAAAATGCCTTTACGATTTGGAGGGTGATAGCCTATACTCGGTGAAATGGTACAAAGGACGCCGCGAATTTTACAGTTTTACGCCAAAGGAAACGCCAGCCATTAAAGTTTATCAAATCACAGGCGTGAGAGTTGAGGTAAGTGGAAGAGAAAAATAGAAACTAAATAACAGCAAATATTTCAAAAGCCAAAGGATTTTTAACTCTACAAACACATTTTCTTATCAACGCACTTTTGTTGCTTCGAAAATGTAATTTCGCGCCTGAAATTATGCCTACAAGCCGCAAGCAATATTGCGACCAACAGTCAGGCACATTATTGCCAGCAAACAAGCAATCAAAAGGGTTTGGTATTATCACTCGCTGCTCTATGCCCCGAGCTATGTGCAGAATCGGCATGCATTTGCCATGCTAATTAAAATCAAGTTGACAAATGTAAGACATGGCAAAGTTTTTTGTATGCCACATTAAGAGCAGCTTGGCATTTCAATAGAGGCAATCTTCATAAATAGTTTGACAAAGAAATTGTCAACACCAGCAAACGAAACGGGTAAACATTCAAACCACAATACATTGCACTTTGATTATTTACATTGGGCGAGTACATTATCGGGAGTAGGGAGTACTTGAGCACAAAACTTTCACCAAAATTCTTGGTAGAAAATTAAATTACTTTCTGTTTGCGTAAAACTTTTATGTTTGCATTCAATTCCTAGCGCCTAAAAGTAGACCTCAACACAGCACATAATTGTCACTTTGTGGGTGCCGTCATGGAATCATACGCTGAATATTTTCACAAAAGTGTTGAATAGTTGAAGAGTTTGAAATGTTGCATGAATATCGAGGGAATGAGAAACTGTTGAAAACTTTCGCTTTAATATTCATTCCTTGAATTTTATTATCATTTCAATGTTTTCTGCCTTTTGTTGTTATTGCTACGACTTGTTTGTGTGGCTTGCTATTTAGGTGTGGAATACCAAAATTAATTGCGTTGATTGTTTGGCAGTAATGGCCACTGTTTGATTAAGGACCCTCGAATTTGAGCCATAAATTCTAATGTTGCACGCAACTTTGAAAAAGATCTCGGAACTTCGATTGCCTTTAAATTGTTGTTAATAAAAATGGTACAATGCCTATTTCAGATGAAAATAATGCAAGCCCTATTTAGATTTTTTATTTATTTTATTTTTTTAACGAAATTCTAAGAAATTTTAATTAATTCAAGCAAAAATCAAACAAACTAGTACCGTTCCACATATTAAAAATTCAAAGTTGCTCGAATTCAAAATGACACTTTAAATATAACTTTGAATATATCAACTTTCTTTTTCAAGCACCAAATTAAGCATATATACATACATACATATGTTCTAGAGGGCTGCATGAATTCATTCAAACTTCTAGCCAAACAGAGTCCAGTAGATTTGAATATTTTACTTCACATACAAAACACTCAGCGTTTGGAATTTTGTAAGTTATGAATGTACATTTTGTTTCAAATTTTCTACCTTCAAATGGAAGAATGTGAATGATTGAATGGAAAACATTCAAACTCATTTCGGTAAAAGTTTTTTCTACAAACAAGTTTTTTCGTATTGTAATAGGAGCGCAGCAATACATACATACATACATACATATGTTTGTACATTTGTGCACGGAAAAAATATTTTTGGATATTCATACAAAAATTGTCATTTATTTCAATTCAATTTATTTCACTTTGTTTGAATATTCTAATGTCGAAACATATATCCGAATAGGTATTCACTCAAATTCCAAAAAATTTTAGGCCAAAATCATTAATTCGTTTTGTATATGAATAACTCATAAGCCGTTTTGAATGAATTCATGCAGCCCTCTAATATGTACTACATACTCCACGACATTGCGCCAGTGCATACTTACGTACAGTTGTCCACAAAATAAAAGGAGTGCGATATTTTGACCAGTTTTGGCTATTGGTCTTTTGTTTATTTAATGTTTTTTTCAGTTTTTTATAAAAAGTCTAGCGGTTTACACAACAAACACCATATAAATTCAGATTTCAAACTTTGAGCAAGGATTAATAAAGTTTCGAAAATGTTCACACAAACTTCAAACTTTTTTATCAGAATCTCTAAAAAAAATTGTGCTATCCAGTTTTGAATCCCATTTAATTTTATTATAATCAAGTGCAAGTTTAAAGCTTCAATGAAATTCCGTTGATTTTTGGCAATTCTTTTTTTTTTTTGCCAACGTGAAACACCTTCAACCAAAAAAAAATTCTCAAAAGTCAACGGGATCTTTTAGCAACTTGAAACTTGCACTTTATTATACTAGAATTAAATGGGCTTCACAACTGCATATCACAATTTTTTCTAAAGATTCTGATTAAAAAGTTTGAAGTTTGAGTGAAAATTTGCGAAATTTTTATAATTTTTGTACAAAGTTTGAAATCTGAATTTATATGGTGTTTATTGTAGAGCCAGCTAGACTTTGATAAAAAATTTATAAACAAAATACAAAATACATATCGCACTGCTTTTATTTTGTGGACAACTGTATATACGCACCTGTGCAGACGTCAGCATGCGGTGCAACAGCATGTCGCTCATACGCCACGTACACCACGAAGAAAGGCACAAAGCCAGCGAGAAAACGAGTAGGGAGTATATAAAAGTGAAAAACACACACACACACACAAATATATGTGTGTATGTGAATAAGGCACAAAAAGTTAAAAGGCAGCTGAAAGAGCGAGACTCGACATTCGCGTGGCCCATTGTTTACGTAAACAAAGCCAAACGCACTTTTCACTTCATAATACTTTGCTCGGCTGCTTGCTTGCTTTTGTTAACTGTGGTGATTGCACGTTTTTATATCCTTATTATGCTTGTCTTCGTTGTCATACAAATTATATTGCATAAAAAATATGCATATGCAATATATTACGATTTACCTAAGTGCGCACTTGCTTTTGCTCCGACGAAGGCTAAAGTATGGAGAAATAATATATAATATTGTAAAAGCGAAAATTTCGATTGTATGGTTAAAGTTGTTAAAATGGCGGGGTCATGCTGGGAACTAGCCATCTGGATACTATGCTTATATTTACGCCCAATTAATTCTACCTTTTCTAATTAGCCAAATGGTGTACCGATGCCTGTCGCGCTTTCGCTCACAAATCCCATAACTTTGGAAACATATCTTAACAAAAGTTTAACAAAATTTTTGTAAGTACATACATAAGTACAGCCCATGCTATAGTCGAATTTCTCAAAGCGTTTGCTTTCGCTTTTTGCTGTCACCTGTCTGTATATTTAGTTTTGAAACTCTACGAAAACTTTACGTGCATATACAACTCCCCTCCACATTGTGTTTACATATTTCAGCTGTGCAACATGTTGCAACGTAAATAAGCAAGTAGACAGCTTGTTTTTAATTTTCTACAACCAGGATAAAGCAAAACACACATTCCAACAAGCACTTGCAAAAGAGTCAATGCAAAGGGTGAATGGAAATTGTATTTCTTTTCTTTTTTTTTGCCAACAACCCCTTTCATGCTCTCAATTGGTTTTCATTTTATTTCGCTTCACCTGCTGTTCGAGACGCTCGTATTTTGCCACTTTCTTTTATAGCACTGCACACATGTGTCGCTTTCCAAATTCTAGTGCAGGTGTAAAATTGGTTTTTTCGAAAGTTTCTATATCGGCTTATTCCCTTTAGATGGTGACAATTTCACACTTTTTATGCAACTCAGCGGAGACTTTTTTTAAGCTTTTTTTTTTACATTTTGCCTTTTACTTTACTGCACCACATGTGATTTTCTGCACATACAGCTTCGGTTGTTGGTACATCATCATGTACATACATACATACGTATGTATGTACGTACATCTGACCTCCTCCATGTATGGCCCTTAAGCCAGTGAGTCACATGCGTTGGCCTCTTTTTTGCACTTCTTTAGTGTGTTGTGTTGTCAAAATCTGTTGTCAGTTCACTTTACATTCCGTTAGTTGACAATTTCGATTGCCAATTTTACAACTTAAAAGATTATCCGTCATACAGTAAGGTTTTCTTACGTAAGTATATGGCTACCCATTTTTTTTTATCGCTGATAACATCTTACACAAAATTACGCCAAACTCCAGGTAAAAAACGTCGCGTGATCAAAATAATAGGGTCAAAAAAGCAAAATGATATTGTTTGCATCTAATATTTACTTATTTTATGTTAACTAGCCAATGCCCGCCTTCTTCGCGCCGCCCGATTAGAACTTTTAAATATATTCTTAGTTTAGATGATACCATACCCCAGGATGGTTATAGTTACCAAATCATCTGTTGAAAGAAATATTTTTAGCTGATTTTTTCTGGGTGATATGGAAAACCAGTCCTTTCCGATATGAGCTTTCAGAGGATGAAAAGTTGTCCCGTACATTGGGTAAATGAGTCGCCTGACCTTTTTTTTATTGTTAAAATGACGCTAGGGTATACTTTCTTTGAAGGACTTGATCGAATCTTTCCTTGCAAATTCGCCACATTTACAATTTTTTCTTAATCTTGTTTCTGGATTCTATAAACCTAGGCTATCTCGATCAAAAATGTACGGCGCTCAGTAAGAGAATTTGTAATGTTTACCTGCCTGACTGCCACACAAGAAAAATATTCATTTGTTCTCTCTAGGCCTTTGATCAGGATTTCGTACTGCCTCCTAAATGTCAAACACTTCTTCTTGATACACCCGGGACACGGTGACGTGCCTAGAATATCTGAATGAGCAGAAATTCCTTTGATCCATAAATTGGTTCTTGGTCTTTCAGTCTTACAGCTGTAATAACGGCCGCCGCGAGCAATTCCATCAAGCGGATGTACATATATGCAAGATCGCATGGAGGGGACGACGACAGACAAAGGGCCAAATCAGCACATAATTTTCATTTAAAATGCATATGTATACATATTAGAGATACGCGCGGGATGTCGGGACCCGTGGAACCCACGGTACTGATTTCAAAATGGTCGGGATGGGCGATATCGGGAAGGTCGGTAAAAATTTTAGGTGCGTGACGGGCCCAAACTCCTCTCCCCACACTCCCGATAAAACCCGCAACTTCCGCAAATTCATAAAATCTTCCTTAAATACGTTTTATGAAATA